TACTACCACAGCTGCTTACTACCATAACTACTTATTACCATAACTATTTACTACCGCAGCTACTTACCTACCACTGGCCCAACCCTTGGGCATGGCCTACTGCCACTGAGGAATTCGTTACAAGTGACAATGCGTTCATCAGTTGCACCTCACCTGACTCCAGTGTAAAAGCCCACTGCCTCCTGCCAGTGCTGAGAAGTGCAGCAGACAAGTGAAGCAGTACCAGCAGCTACACACACAGCAAGAGCCATTCTTGAGCTTCCCCAGTGCTCGGGCTTCGGCCCAAAGCTGGGGTGTGGCTCCAAAAAGATCCTGTAGTGCTTGTTACCTTTGCACCTCCTAACATCGTCTGCTGCTATGCAGCTGCCTCACCCTTCGAGCCCAGTGTGGGCGGGGTTTGTGGCAGCCCAAGGTGCCTAGCTTCTTCCTCCGAGTCCCGTGGTGGCGGGGAATGGGGCTGGGCCTGGAGACAACTGGTCTCAGACGATGAAGAGGTATTTGTACCTCCTCCCATGGAAGACACTGGTTCTGAGACACTCCCACGACAGGAAGCTAAGGCCGGGCTTTCTCTTGGAAAAGGCCCAGGCCGGGCGATTATACCGGCGAATCTACAACAAAAGCTGCCAGTCCTTCAGATTCATCGAGACTGTGGCACTGAACACTTGCTCCTAGGCTGAGTGACTGATTACCCCATCTTCTACCTCTCCACTCTTCTGTATTGTACTGATAAAGCCACTGGTTGGTGAAACGTCTACCAAATACAGATACCCAGATGTTGCATGTGTCTAATTCTTTATAGTGTAAGAGTACCAGGACTTTTCAACGATCTTCCATTAGGACAAATACCAAAAGATCCCTAGCTATTTTTAAGAGGTAACTGACTGACTTTTCGGTCCAAGCACTATGTCAATTTCTAACGCATTCTCTTGTCTGTACCTTGAATTTGAAATCTAGTTTGTATTTTTATCGTCATTAAAATTTTCCATTTGTTTGGCAATGACCTTTTTGGTGCTCCTATCCTGAGTCACTAAAATCTGAATTTTATGGAGGAAGACAGTGCGTACGAGGGCGCTAATATAAAATTTGTATAAATTTATGAACGTCGACGCACCTTCTTGACGAGCAGTACAACTCCGTTATACTGCAGGAACCTGCCTGCCTCCTGATGGCAAGAATATCTAGTTTCCACGGTGCCCGGGATGACTGATCTAGGCACGTTCACCAGTGTACTCAGGTCGTCGGAAGAAGAGAGGTAGAGGGATTGGGAGAGAAGAGAACAAGAGGAAGAGAGAGAGAGAGAGAGAGAGAGAGAGAGAGAGAGAGAGAGAGAGAGAGAGAGAGAGAGAGAGAGAGAGAGAGAGAGAGAGAGAGAGAGAGAGAGACTTTCAAATGAGCTGGTTTAGGTAACATCTCTTAGCTTGTAAATAAAGTTAAGAATCTTAAACCTAACCTTGTAAAACCCCGTGTAAAAGAAGAGAGGGGCAAAGGAAAGGAGTGGTATTTGTCAGACCTCGGGTTCGATCCCCGCCCATTCCAAGTCACATTTGAAGGAAACGGGTTTAACCTCGGTACAAGCGGAAACACTGGACCTGCTGTGTTACACCTGTTGTCCCTGTTCACTTTGTATTAAGCAGATATTCGAGTGTTAGCCGACTGCCGTTGACCAGATCCTGGGGAAAAGGATCAAAGGATCCCAGTGGAAATAAAAATGTTTTGAGGGTTGTCTTGGTCAATGTATTCCAAAGCTCACATGGAGACAGAAATGAAAAAAAAACAAAACAATGTGAGCCTGTATATTTAGACCTCTGAAACAGGTCTAAATCTACTATTAATAGGCTACTAGCAGTTTTTATAAAATTTAAGTTACTTACATTTTATTATTTATAACTTTATTTCTGTTGAATATAGACACGACACGTGTTTAAAACAGGATTAACCTTTAATAAGAAAAAATATGCACACCACAGTGACGAAACATCGGGACCCAAAGAAACAAAACATCTGTGGAAAATTGCATTTACTTGGATGTAACTCATTATGTACACAGCAGTAAATGAATAAGGATAATTATTATTTATCAATTAGACAAGTAGGAATTTGGGACACCTAGGTCGCAAAAAATGTCCCCCTTCGATACCTACAACTGTCATATCCACAAGTTGCTCTGGACCTATTAATTACAAATGAAATATACATCACCAGGAATGCTGGTAAATATATAAATTTGTGGACTGTATATTAAAATTAAAAAAAAGATTATATATATACACACACATAACAGAAAGAGAATATCTTAATATCACTTACCAATTTGACTGGAGACCAAGTTGCATCATACTCAGAAAACCTCACTAACTAAATTTATGAAAATACTGGCCAGAATTATAACATAAATCTAAATAGCTTATCTGAGGTTCCTGGAGTTGTCTTGTCCAGTCGCCTAATATCTCAAGCTATGCAGGAATGCACATCCAACAATTTCGCCTCCTATTTGAGAGGTGTCAACCCAATTTTACCTCTAGAGCACGAAAATTCTTCACATTATTAATAAATGTCTGTTACTCTCAATTCAAAACAAACAACAATGGCGAGTCTCGTCTGCGCAGGCGCAGCTTCCCATTTTTTATGACATAAATATTATTAAATACAGTATGGCCATCTATTTACATATAACTACTGTATTTCTGGAAAATATATACAGTATTTTCCACAACATCATTTTCGGCTTTATTGAGTAAATTTGGATTATTTTTATCATCCACTATGGCCATTGTATTCCTATAATAACCACATAATGCAGTCACTGTAAAAGTTTGAATATGTAAAAACATTTACAGGCTGAAATTAACTTGTGCAAATTGTGAGTCAGTAATACAGAATCAGATTATATATAGAGTTTCATAAGAAAGTGTAATTAATATGCCCAGTAGTGTTATATGAAAACTTGGTCTATGGGTGTCAGGAAAAGATGGAGGTACAGAGTATAAAATACCGACATAGTTGAAAAAAGAAAGACGAATGCAGTGTTACATGCGATCCTTTATTGACAATGTTTGGCTCACACGGTAGATTACTGTCCCATGCTAGGCCCAGATTACTTTAATTAAAGCTGTCCGAGGTTCTCGATTCAATGACGCTTCTCGGGAGTTTATTTTAATGATCCATAACTATTACCAAACCAATGCTCTGCCACAGCCTTTCTAATTCTAACTTTTTCCAACATGAACTCGTTGTTGTCGGTCCTGTCTCGGTTAGATATTTTCAGAGTATTTTTTACACCTCCTTTATTTATCCCTGTCTTTTATTTGTTTCACTCATATCTCCCCCTAATTCTACGTCCTTCCAGAGAGTGTAGATTCGGTGGCCTCAGTCTGGCCTTGTAGGAAAGAGTTCCATGATAAACCTCACTGAATGCGAGATACGTTATCAATAGAGTCGCATTATACAGCATTCGTGTCTCTTTCCGCCAGGAAAAGACCCAAAGGATATCACTCAGGTGTTAGTGCTTAAACTAGAGTTGCGAAGAAAATGACTGGTTGATTAACTATCGCTGCAGCTTAGTGAAATATAAAATGAAGAGAGTTTATAATTTCAAATGTGTAACGAAGAACCACTCACAATAGTAACTTCTTTGAAATATAACTTACATTATAGTAAAAAATAGCGAATGCCAGATTAAACTTCCTTTAAAAGAAGTCATTATTCATATTATCTCCGGAGGGTTGGTAATCCAGGATATCCCAACACAGCCACTCAATGAGGCTTATTTCCACTGAAGTCATTTTTAGGTCCTTCTTGAGATACGACATACAACAACAGTCTACTAACAGTGGCAGCAGGTGTTGCGAAATTTGTCCACTGTTGATGTATGTCTCGCCCCATCCGGGATTCTGCCTGGGATCCTTTGGGATGCGAGTCGAACACGCAACCACAGAGCCTACCAGCTCAGGCTAGCAAAATCCTACGTCAACGCGTGTGTAATGAGATATTCTTCATGACACTGCTCTAACAAAAAAAAAAGTTGAAAAACATTACAAAATGTTTCATGAAAAGGATAGCAAACGTCATACTGGACCTGGGACCAAGAGAACATGTATAGGTCGGGTTTAATTACAAAAACTGGTAATGCAAATAGTGTAAGATAGTGTACAGTAGGTGAAACTTAACTAGCTTTACAAAATTACTCACAACCATGTGCAAAATAACTTTGGGGTCTGTAAAAGCCTGGCCCCAGGCCGGGTTGCCAAGGCAGAAAAAGCTCTCGAAGCCGCCTCTTGTATGCCACAACCCACAGGAATTTTTTATCAGGATTTGTGCCGTTTGTATAGAAGTTATACAAGATATACGTTTTCTCTGATAACATATCTTTCACAGAAAATGGAAAAGAAATACGTAAGACTTAACCAAAACACGTATACATTTCTTCAGTTATAAGAGACAAGATAAGATAATATTTTGTTCAGATTTTTACTCCCGGAGGGAGAGCCACCCAGGATAACCCAAGAAAGACAGTGCGTTATCGAGGACTTTCTGCCTTATTTCCATCTAGGTAATCTACAATGGGATCCTTCAATCTTGTCCCCCAGGATGCGACCCACACTAGTCGACTAACACCAGGTACCTATTTGCTTGCTAGGTGAACAGGGACAGCAGATGTAAGGACACACATCCAACGGTTCCACCCGGCTGGGGATTGAAGCGAGAGCATTACCTACCAGGACACGGGACACTAAACGTTGGTTACTAAATGAAAACAAACTGCAGGTATCGGGAAACCGAAGCACATAGAATAACTCGCCTCAAAACATTTCACATTTCTCAAAGATATGCATAATGTCAGCAACAGCCTGTATCTGTTGTCATTGAGGAAGACGCTGGTCTGGATCCAAGTGAATATAACGCATTGCCATCAAGCCCATGGACGGAATAATTGCAGGCTTACTGAAAGGATAAAATGTGCTCCATGAAACCCATTTAATTACAGTTTCTTTAACCTACAGCCTCGGGGATCATGGGGCTGGACATCTCGGCGTGGTGGACGGGGAGCTCGACTACCTTGGTGTCAGCCACTACACTGGAGGGAGCCTCCAGGACCCGCCACCGCCCTCGTCTCCTTCCCTGGCTCTGGAAACACCTGGATCAGATACCTTCTCCAGCAGGTGAGTTCTACCTAATGAACAGCTGTAGTTCTTGTTTGAAGGAGAAGATCGAGTGACTATATACGAAATAAGAGAGCTAGAGACTGCGAAAGAAGCAACTCTCAGCATCATTTGTATGAGATAGATTATTATTATTATTATTATTATTATTATTATTATTATTATTATTATTATTATTATTATTATTATTATTATTATTATTATTATTATTATTCCGCTTGTGCAGTGTATCTAGAGCAATATTCATAAGTCTGTTTGTATGCGTCAGTGCCCGATGCAGAAGGATACGTAGGTCATTCTCAGATTTTGTTTCTGTGTGAGAGGTGGAGACAGACTCCTCTGATCAGCTTCAAAATTTCCATACTCGTGTAGCCCACTTAACAGAATGTTCTCATATTTAATGAAGTACGTTGATGAGGGGCTCATGATCGAATTTAAATGCTTCCCATTCCACAGACGTTTTATGACCCCTGTGATGGCTGACGTATTGTATGAAATGTATGGAATATTTCATGGATTAAACGTGCTTACATACAAATTTTGTTGGATTTTGTGCAATGCCTTGAAAATGCATCTTCTGGCTAGTTTAACTTTTAAGTGCTGATGTGTTCTCCTCGATAGAAACAATTCCTTCATGTTATGTTGTGCAAGTTATCATGTGCCAGTTTTATTAATCAAATTGGTTTCTGTGTAATAATTGGAGAATTCATCTTCAATGCTAATATTTAACTATATTATCAATTTAGGCAGCACTCTGTACGATTCTAATCGCGTTTGTAATAGTAGGTAATCGGATTTGATCCAAACATACGTAGCGTAATTTCAATTGTTTAGTTCAAGTCTTTCACCAGCACCGGGATACCTTCCTTGAAGGTATATAAAGTTAAACAAACACTGGCAGTGTAGAAAAATAACCAGGAGTGGGATGTTGCTGTAAATAAAAACATTGGTAGTCAGTGCATATTTTTTGAGGAAGTCTGTTGGTAGATATTTATTTTCAACTATCCAGAGATGTTAACATAATATTTGCATTTATGCTTATTTTGGCGACGCTGATCTTCTTCAGGTAACCGGTTACTATTCAGGAAGCGTCTACAAGGATTACGCCCTTATGAAGAATGGCTTCCCAGCAGAGTCTATCTCCAATGGCTCCGTTGTGGTGGTGAAGACTCACGAATGGGGCCCTGAGGTCAGTAATGTGTTACGTTGCTTGCCAGGTGTGCACTTCACACAATGGAATATTATCACATTCTTGTTTTAGTGATAAGTACTAAGGATTTTGGAGAGTGTTCTGCAGTGCTAAACCCACATAGCTCATCTATAACCTTTGTAATGGGAGGTAATCATTTGAAAACACCTTTCAGGTATGATTTCTTTGCCACTCACAAAGATTCACATTGATCATAACCTTTTTTCTACTCAACACTTTCAGGTTTTCCAAATCCAACACTTGTACACTGGTCGGGAGATAACGAAAATGCCTTGTACCAAATTTCGCAATACCAGGGCTGTTGTCACCATCAGGTAGGGAAACCCGAAACCCGTTACATACACTATGCAATAGCCATTTCCAAAGGTGGACCTACTTCCGTACTGTTTCGACTTGCTGCATGTGAGCCAGACAATGAGAGGGAAATATAACGACTACTTCAAGTCTCCCTTACTATTCTAATTACATATTAGCCAGTTTTCACATTACAGGAATATATAATTTAATTCACGGAAAACCACATGAGGAATATATTAATCAATGTTTTACTTGAGAAAAGGGCATTCTAAAGACGAAATTCGCTTTACTGCCAAATGGCCTGGGATGCGTGTGAGTGTCCACGGTGGCTCCGTGTCACCAACTGTCCTGGGGTGAGTGCGAGTGTCCATGCTGGCTTCGAGTCACTAACTCCACCAACAGGCATGAGGCAAGTTGAATGTTGAGAATGGGTCCCAATTGATGTGAGTCGCGAGGGCAAATACATGCCTCTACATTGCCATAAATATGCGACTAACCCCTGTTTCTTCTCGCTTAACACAATAAACAGCGGATCTAGTCTAGTCAGACTTTCCCTGGCTGCCGCGTGAGGGACTGTTGTCGTTGAACTCTCTAACCTGATCTCACATCACTCCTCCAGTTAGCTACACAAATGGCGTCCTTCATGCCGGCAACCACAAATAACCCAAAGCTAAACAAATATAGACAAAATAAAATGGAAAAAAAAAGTATCCTACATGACGAAGGAAAGGGAGGATAACTTCGAATCATTTGATAAAGTCGGTGAACTGCATATTTTTGTGTTACATGCAGGCATTTGATACTACGACACAAGAGACTGAACCCAAAACTAGAGGAACAGGACGAGATAACTGGCATGACTCTTCTTGTGGAAAATACTGTATATTTTCCGGAAATACGGTAATTTATAGGTAAATAGATGCCCTATATTGTATTTAATAAAAGTGTATTTTTAAAAGATGGACAGTCGCCATTTTGTTTGAATGGAGTAAAACGTTAATTAATAATGTGAAGAATTTTCATGCTCTAGAGGTTAAAATTGGGTTGATACCTCTCAAATAGGAGGCGAAAATTGTTGGATGTGCATTCCTGCATAACTTGAGATATCAGGCGACTGGATAAGACAGCTCCAGGAACCTCAGATAAGTCTGTTATGTTATAACTCTGGCCAGTTGTTATTTTCATGTATAGACAGTGAGGTTTTCTGAGTATGATACCTAATCTCCAGTCAATTGTGATGTTATGATTAAGATTATCTCCTTCTGTTATATAAATTGTGTATATACTATAATTTCCTTTTTTAATTTAATATCAGTCACGAATGTATATATTTACCAGTCATTCCTGATGTATATTTCATTTAATAATAGGTCTAGAGCAACTTGTGGATATGACAGTGGTAGATATCGAAGGGGGACATTTTTGCGACATAGTTGTCCCAAATTCCTACTTGTCTAACTGATAAATAATAATTAATCCTATGTTCATTTACTGTTATGTATATAATGATAACATCCAAGTAAATGCAATTTCCACATTTAATTTGCCATTGGTCCTTCTTAACCGGAGGTTATTAGTGAAGTCATTAATAGTTAATTACTTAATAATTATATGTAAATGACATGAAGGAGGGATGTTAAATTCACAAATTTACTTAAATGTAGTGGATTATAATTATTACAATATTAATTTGGATAAGTCAAGTGTGGCTAAAGATAATTAATTGTATAGTGATAAGGTAATTGATAAGCCAAGTGTAGCTAATTATATCAATTTGATATAATAATTTTGCATAGCCAAAGTGCTAGGATTTAGATTAATGTATTTGTATAATATAATTTGATAACAATTTGGCCAAGATTATAATCAGTGTATGTGTAATTGATAAGACAATTGACTAAAGATTATATTGTGTATAATTATTATAATTGCTATGCCAAATTCTGCAAGGATAATTAATTGTGTAATATTAATTTTGATAAGCCAAGTTTGGCTTAAAAGGTTTGTATTAATGCACATTAAAATATTATAATTTCTGCATGTGTAATTGCTAAGCTCAGTAGCTGGGATTTATTCAAAGGTAATATTGTCAGTGTTGTGAGTTGTAATCAGTGTTATTAATTGAATTTAATACATTGCATCATGGCTGAAAATGAGGAAATTAATATAGAAGACAAACATATGAATATAAGCAAAGAAAGCGTCATTGCAAGCTAGAAAGGGTCAATGTAACCAAGGCTAATAAAATGTTTGGAATTAATGAATCAAGAAACTTTGAATACTGATGATTAAAATTGTATTTAGATGCTTTAGGTAATAGAATGATTCCTTCAAATTATATTACAACAATGAAGGAAATTTGTTAGTAAACTGTGTAGATGAGACTGAAGTAGATCTTATGAATTAATCAGTATATGAATTAGAGGAAAAGATTCTTTCTTGTAAACGTCAGGCCTTAAATAAATTAAAATGTGTAAACCAGACAGTTAAATCGAGATGCTCCAACAAAATAGAATGTCTTGCCAAAACTCCCATGAATTATGTTTACCTGATTAACCTGGAGAAACATTGGGAGGAATTTTGGTCAATTTTTAAAGCAGCGTGCAGACAGGAGTGACTCAAGTCTGTGTAACTAAATTATTTTACCTCAAAGGACAGGACAGAGGAGATAGCTTACATACTCATACAAGCCTTTCCAATCGAAATGATCTTACAAGGAAGCAGTTGACTTGTTGAGGTCACTATGGTAATATAGAACAAAGTAGGTTGGATCTAGTGAATATCATTGTTAATTTAAAATCTCCAGATCACACTTACAAAGGTTTACAGCAGTTTAGAGTTAAACTGGAGAGCACTCTCAAAACTTTAAGTAATAAATATAATCTGAAGGAATCAGATTGGTTATTGAGTGCCATGGTACAGAATAAATTAAGCTGCAAAACACTTGAATGGATCTCCAACAATGATCACAAAGGTTATTTTGGTCTGGAGGAAATAAGACTAGGTCTACAAGAATTAATTGTTCAGTTGCAGACTAGCCAACCAACTCATTTTAAAGATGCAACACACGATAACTCTAAGGTACCTGTCAAGTTTCACAAAGGGAAAAATTATCCCAGTGTTAATAATCAAAATTCATTTCCTAAAAAGAGTTGCATAGGTACATATCAAGTAGCAGGAATCAGAAATAATGATTCTCCACAAGGTAAGAAGAATAGGTGCCCTCCTAAGAGTAGCCCAGGTAATAAGAAACCAGTCAAAGAAAGGAGAGATTGTCTCTTCTGCAAGGGTACTCATTTTTCTAAGAATTGCAATGCATACAGTTCATGGAATGATAAAGTTGAAAGATTGGAGGAACTTGACAGATGTATCAGGTGTTTAGGTAATCACAATGTAAAGGATTGTTATGCCAAATTAAACAACTGTTATCAATGTCACAAAGGAAGACACCATATAGTCATGTGTAAAGGTCTATATGATAATGTTGATAATAATGATAATGTTGACAATCCTGACACAACAGTGGCTAATGTAAAAATTGCTGGTAATGTTAATAATGATGGTTTTGCTGAAGTAGCCTTACCTGTGTTACAGGTAAAAATTGATGATAAAAGGCATAAATCAAAAAATGTAAATGCATTATTGGACCAGGGATCCCAGTGTACTTTCATAAAACGTAAATGTCTTGATGGTATGAAAGTACAGATGGGAGATCCCACAACTTTAAAATTATCTGGTTTTCTCTCGGATAAAAGGTCTCAATTGTATGACACTGTTTATGTAACTGTCAGGTTGGGCAATGAGAAAAAACGTGTTAATGCAGTAATTGTAGATAGACTTCCAGAGAAAAATATCTACAGTAGGACTTAGTAAAGCTACAGAAAGACTTTCACATAATGTAAATTTAGCACCTTCTGGTGTAAGTGATGATTCTGTAGGCCCAATAAATATTTTGATAGGTAGTGACTATTATGCCTCCTTTGTAAAGGGTATGGTAAAGAAATGTGGTGTCACCCTTTTGAAGACTGCAGGAGGCCATGTAATGTATGGTAGGATTCCTCGTAATAATAATTCATGACTAGAGGAAACTACAAATACCATAACTGTGTGTCTTACTCATGAAATCGTACCCCAGTATAATTCTTCAATAGAGGATGGTGTTGAGCCAGTGCATAAATTGTGGGAATTAGACAGCATTGGAATAAATGTAAATGAAGAAAGTCCAGATGATTCTTTTACTCAGGATCAATACCTGAGAGATGTAAAATTTGAATCTGGACAATACTGGGTACGACTTCCGTGGAGACTGAACCATCCAGAATTGCCTACTAATTACAGAATGGCATATGGACAATTAAAGGCTCAGCTCCGTGAACTGAGTAAGACACCAGAATTGTTAACTGCCTATAATGATATAATTGCTGAACAATTAATTAATAAATTTATAGAAGAGGTACCTCCTGAGCAAGCCAAAATTTATGGTCACTATTTGCCCCATCACGGAGTGAAGAAGGATTCTAAGACCACTCCTTTGAGGATTGTGTTTAATTGTAGTGCCAGGAGTAACAAAAATGTACCTAGTTTAAATGACTGTTTGATGACAGGTCCGTCGTTGACGGAAAAATTAGGAGATATCTTGATGAACATCAAAATGGTATACAATACCGACAGGTTGTTAGGTA